TCTCCGGTGTCTCCGTTCCTGGAGGATTTGGGTTTGTCCTATGCACTGGGGCAGGGGTGCGCATGGAAGAAAAGTCCGCTTTTAGCACTACTTGTCTTAGGGCACCACCCTATGCTAAATAGATTTAAATAGATTTACACATTTTTTTATTGAATTTCCTGGGTGACATTGTGAATACAATTATACAGATTTCAAGTGTATAATTGTAGAATCCACCGTCTGACATGTACTGTGTGTTCACCACCCAAAGTCAGGGCTCCTGGAGCCACCATTACCCCCTGGAGCCCCACCACACCCCCTTCCCCCGCTCCCTCTGCTCTTGTCCGAATGAGTTTGTTTGTATTTTTTGCTTCATCCCTTCACCTTTTCCTCCAAGGCCCAGGACCTTCCTCTCTGACCATCAGGTTCTCTGCAGTTGGCATCGGACGGCTCCCTAGCTGCTGCTTTATCTTGTGGACTGAGGCTCGGCGGTGGCTGTAGGCGGTGTTTTCATACAGTGAACTGGGCTGTTTGCAGCCTGGCCAACAGCCCTGAGTACACGCACGCGCGCACACATACACGCACGCGCGCACACACACACACGCGCGCACACATACACACACGCGCGCACACACGCACACATAACATGTTTGGGGGCGGGGCGAGAATTTTTATGTTTGGACTGTAGCGAAGGCCTGCGTACGCCTCTCTTTTTCCTGCAGTTATTCTTACATACATCTGAAGGTATTTCTCTTGCGTGATTAATTCGGGAGATGCTGGTCCATTAGTTTTCATCCTCAGCTGAGAAGGAGAAATGGATTCCAGATTAAGTGCCCCAATTCTGTAGGGTGAGAGATTGATTTTAAATATGAGACAGACATTCCAATGAAGTTTGTTAGTGGAGGAATCTGCTGAGAAGATAATGTTGTGAAATTGTTCGGTTGGACTAGTGCATTGTAAGGGTATATTTTTTTTGCCATTCAATGGTTCTATTTAAGAAATAACTGCACTTTTCAGAGAGGAATGTCAATATATATATATATTTTTTCCAGCAAGTGAAGATTATGATTCACATTCAGAAAGAAAAGTCACAGTTAGTGTTAAATGAAAAGAGTTGCACTAACTACATTACGGCATTTTCTCCTTGGAGCTTTCGTGGACGGGTGGGGCAGGTTCCGGAGAAACAGTTCCTCCTGCCCCTGGATCTTACAGATAAATCTGAGACGCTGACAGCTTCAGTGGTTTGCACAGGATAGCAGCAAAGGACACTTGACTGGTGGGGAGCACACAGTACAGTGTCCACACGGCGAGTTACAGAATTGTGCGCTGGAATTAACTGGCCTTTTGCTGCACCGCGACCCCTTCCTCAGGGCCAGTTTGCTGGGATGAATGATTTAACCCTTAAAGCCAGAATTGCCTGAATTGTTATAAGATGATAGAAAGATATAAATTGATAGGCTTTTGTTTTTAAACTTTTGGGACAACTTCATTGTAAGGTGAGCTCACAAAGTCAGCAGTACATGTTACACATACACAGAAATTGTATTGGATTCCATATTTGGAGAATCACAAAACCATGATGTGTGAAGCTTAGAAGCTAGCAGCTCCTCAGGCCTCTTGGGCTGAGTTTTCCTGTATTTGCTTCATTCTGGATAAGGAAACTTTTGTAACTACTGAAAAGCTGGAATGATACAGAGCCAACGTGGACTCAGCTTGTCCTCTGAACAGGCTACAGCTGCCGTGACATTTAGCAGAGGTAGTTAAGTATTCCCTTCTCAGCTGCAGGTAATAACTCAGGGAGAATAATTGGAATAGAGTTATTAGAAATTGTTGGTGAAGCATGACATTATGCCTGAGGTGTGAAATAAGGGTTAAAAGACCTGAGTGGATTCAGCTCCTGTGTAGATAGACATTTCTAGAAATCTGAAGGATTTTAAATTTTTTTACTTGATACACGAAATTTACAATAAACTTTTTCTGATTTTATTTCAGATGTTGGATGAAAATAACCATCTCATTCAGTGTATAATGGACTATCAGAATAAAGGAAAGACCTCGGAGTGTTCGCAGTAAGATGGATTTGAAATTTAAAACTTTATTTTTCTGCGTTGGTTTACTTTTCTTTTTAATAACAGCTTTGTTGGGATCTAATTCACATACCATACAATTCACCCATTTTAAAGTGTGTAATTTAAGGTTTTTAGAATATTCATAGAGTGCTACTACTATCACTTTAATCAATTTCAGAACATTTTCCTTATCCCCAACAGAAGCCTTCTACACATTAGCAGTCACTCCGGTTTCCAACCCCTAATTTCTTACCCCCTGACAACCACGTTCTGTCTGTGTAGACCTGCCTGCTGTGGCCATTTCATTTACATGGATTCATATATTGTGGGATATTTTGGACGGACTTACTTCACTTAGCACGTTTTCCAGATTCATCATGTTGAAGCGTGAATCAGTACTTCCTTTTCATTGCTAACAATCTTTCCTTGTCGAGAGCTATGCCACATTTATCCATCAGGGATAGACGTTTGGGTTGTTTTCACTTCTTGGCTACTATGAGTAATGCTACGATGAGCTTTAGTGGACACAGTTTTGTGTGACTCTGATTTTTCCCTAAGGAAAATTTGTTCTCGGGATGGAGTGGGTGCTAATTTTTCTTGCGCTTCTTATCCTGCATCATAACATAAGGACTTCACATTTGTGTGTGGTCTGATTTGTGGAAAGTTAGGCCTTCACGTACATAGGACCTTTAGTTATAGCCATATATGTGATGGAGGAAGCAGAGGTCAGGTCTAATACATAGAGAACTGGTCATCACTCTAAGAACCCAGTGTGAAGTGTTATGTCGGAAGTAAACAGTATCCCTTAGGAGAGTGCTGGAGTGGAACAAGTTGAATATTTTATCAAACGTCTAGAGCAGCGGTTCTCAACCTGTAGGTCGAGACCCCTTTGGCAGTCGAAAGACCCTGTTACAGGGGTCGCCTAAGACCATCCTGCATATCAGATGTTTACATTACGATTCATAACAGTAGCAACATTACAGTTATGAAGTAGCCATGAAAATAATTTTATGGCCCTGACTGGTTTGGCTCAGTGGCTAGAGCGTCGGCCTGCGGGCTGAAGGGTCCCAGGTTCGATTCCGGTCAAGGGCATGTACCTTGGTTGCAGGCACATCCCCAATAGGGAGTGTGCAGGAGGCAGCTGGTTGATGTTTCTCTCTCATCGATGTTTCTAACTCTCTATCCCTCTCCTTTCCTCTCTGTAAAAAATCAATAAAAAATATTAAAAAAAAAATAATTGTATGGTTGGGTCACAACATGAGGAACTGTATTTAAAGGGCCAGAAGGTTGAAAACCACTGGTCTAGAACAACACCATCCGGTAGAAATGCATTGTGAGCCACATATGTACTTTTACATTTGCTAGTAGACACATTAAACAAGAAGAAACAGGATAAATTAATTTAAATAATATATTTTATTTAACTCCTTATTCTAAAAATAATGTCACTTCAATATATAATCAATATAAAAATATTAATGAGATAGTTTACATTTTTTTTTAAGATATATTTTTATTGATTTCAGAGAGGAAGGGAAAGGAGAGAGAGGGAAACATCCATGATGAGAGAGAACCAATGATTGGCTGCCTACTGCATGCCCCCTACTGGGGATCAAACCCGCAACGCGGGCACATGCCCTTGACCGGAATTGAACCCAGGCTGCAGGCCAATGCTCCATCCACTGAGCCAAACCGGCTAGGGCTAGTTTACATTCTTTCGCTTCATATTTAGTCTTTGAAGTCCATTGTGCATTTATTCTAATAATAACATCATTTTGGATGGTCGCATTTCAGTGTGTACCCGGAAACCTGGTCTGGGGAGGTGGGCAGCACCTGCAGCCGGCGAACACGCAGTCACTGCTGCTGCGGGAGAGGAAGAGTGGTCCCACCTCCTCTGCCCGTGAGCAGAGCCTGGTGGCTGTTCGTGGGGCTGCGGTTTTGACAACAGGGAACTGACAGGAGGGAGTAGGCACACAGTTCAGTGACCTTCATTCCAGACCTCTCAACAGCGTGTGCACTGAGGGAGGCAGCACCGCCTCGGCTGCTTCACTGCCTCCGCTGTGCAGGCTCCTGCAGGCCGCTCCCGACACTTGTTTCCTCTGAAAATGGCGAAAAGAAGAGCTTTTACTTGGTAGAGCTGGTTTGAGGATTAAGTGAGATATGGAAGCATATAAAACTAACTATAACAACGCCGAGCACAAGGGAACCTCTGAATTTCTCATCATCTCTAAGGGTAGTTAGTGGGAGTATTTTGCAGAGGAACTAGGAAAAAATGAAATGCTATTGATGTTCAGGTAACACATCTTTTGTTAGCCTTGAGAAATGATTCCGATGCTGTTCGTGTCCAGGCAGGCGGGGAGAATCAGTGTACACTGATACTTGTCTTGTTTTAATAGGTACCAGCAGATGCTGCATACGAACTTGGTCTACCTGGCCACGATCGCAGACTCGAACCAAAACATGCAGTCTCTGCTGCCGGCGGTGAGTACCTGCGACAGGGCACAGGCGTCCGCACGGGCCCAGCTTGTGTAGTGACTTCTGAGGTTTGTTTAAACCCGGCCCCGCCCCCCAGAACAGGAAGCTGTTTACCTCAGTGACCTAAAGGTTGAATGTTTGCCTTCGGGTTTGATTTAATTCACCTGGAATTGATCCCTCCCGAGGACGGCCTGTTCATCCACCCATTCACCCACACACCTGTCCGTCTGCCTATGTCGTTATTTATTTTCATATGTGATCGCACAACTAACTTATGAATAAGTCTGTAGTATTTCAAAGCAAACCCCAGGTGTCTTATAAGTTTACTTGTAAATACTTCAGTCTGCCTCTTTATCAGATAAGGACTACTATCCCACCCAACAAAAGTAACCAACGGTTCTTAATGTCCTGTAATACCCGCACTGTCTACGATTTTCACCAGTTATTTGAAAAATCCACCGATGTCTTCATGATTGTTCGCCACAGAATCCAAACACAGTCCACATGTCGCGTCGATTGATGGGTCTTAAGTCTCACTCCGTCTGTATCAGGTGTCTTTTCTGTTCTCCATTTATTTGTTGAACAAACTGGGTCATACATTTTGTAGAATTGCTCACATTCTGGACTTGGCTGATTTGACCTTCATGGTCCTAGCACATGTTCTGTCCATCGCATCTTCTTTCCTATAAACTAATAATGAGAGCTTTGTGAGAGGTGGGTTAGTTCTGTAGTTCATTGGTGGTGCTGTGGTTTGTCTGCATCAGGAGGAACGTGGTTGGCTGTTCCATCTTTGGTAACGGGAAGTCTGAACTTACAGGGTTTTGTATTTTTAATGTGTTTAAGTCCATTGCAGTCATTCTCTGATCCTCAGGGTCTGGCATTTGTGGTGGGGGAGCCCCTTCAGTGGCTCCCGTGTCCTGTGGTGGTTGCAGTATCTTGTAGCAACTCTGCTTTGAGGATTTGAGGATTTGAGAGAGAGATCAGATTGATTATATGTTTATCCCAGAACTGTTCTGTCCACTCTGTTTTCCGAGTCCTTTTTCAGTGGGAATTGATATTTAGAGACCACAATTTGTATGTTTGGGGCATTCATTATTACTGCGTTTTCATTGTTTCTTAGGTGTTTTCAGTGGACAGAACTAGGAAACACATTTTTTTAGAAAAAGAAATAAAATACTGGATTAGTGATATTTCCCCTTCAGGGAAGGTTTTTTACTTAGCTTTGATATTATGTGTTAGTATCTCTTTCGTCTTACTCTAAAAATCTTGGTAGCTTATGACATTATTGTAGTTGTTTATTTGCTATACACTACTATCAGTAAAAAATAACTTTAATATAACACTACCAGGTTTACCACTAACACTAAGATGCTTCTCCTTAAGATGTATCCTACTAAGGATATATAATTAGTAAATTTTGTTTTGAATCTGAAATAATTCTTTGTGTGATGATTGACATGAATTTGACCAGCTGAGTAGAATTTATTTTTGTTAATAACTGTGTGAGAAATGGGTTCCACTTTATTTGTTTCCACATGGATAGTTCTCTGTCCCAGCATTATCTACTGGACAAACGAAAGTATCTTTCCTTCATTTGTCATGCCATCTGTATCGTGAATAGCAGGCGCCCACATACATCTGTCTGACCTCTCTCTCCTGTTTCATTGGTCTGTTTTTATAAATTCCACAGTCTTAGCACACTTGGCAAGTCTAGTAAGTCTTCATGTATTAGAGAAGTTCTTTACTTATTCCTTATTTTTTTCAGAATAACTTGGCTATTAGTGCTTTGCGCTTCCACGCACACTTACATTTTAGCGTGTCCAACATAATCCTCAACGTGGCCTGGACATTCCCTGGCCTCTAAGTCAGGTGGGGGAGAATGCCTATATTTTCATTTATTTAGTCCTTTAATATCCACCAATGAAGTTTTATGATTTTCCTGCAGAGGATTTGTGCATCTCTCTTAGGTACTTCATATTTTTTTTTTTTTTTTTTTTTGAGGCAATTAAATAGAGTCTTTGCGTTTTAAGTTTTATCTTCTCTGATTGCTGTTTACATGGAAATGCAGCTGATTTGAATTTCTCAGTCTTGTTCAACCCTTATTTCTAATAATTTTTCTGTAGATACTTTCAGTTTTCTGTATTCACGACCATATTATTTATGAATAATTGGTTTTGCTTCTTTCTTCCAATCCTTACACCTTTTATTTCTCTCTCTTGCCTTGCTCCTCTGGCTAGGACCTCCGTACCTTCCGAGTAGCCGTGGTGAGAGAGGACTCCTTGTCTGTGGCTGACCACAGGGGAAGCTGTCCCTGGTTGACAGGAAGTGCGATGCGAGCTGTAGAGTTTTGTAGATAATGTTTCATCAGGTTAAGGAAGTTCCCTTTTGTTTCTTTTAAGAGTTAATATCTTGAATGAATGTTAAATTATGTTTAAATACTTTCTATTGCATCTAATGAGATCATAAGTTTTTCTTTAAACTGTTAATGTGGTGAACTACATTAATTTACTTTTTAATGGTCAATCTTGATTTCTTGTAATTAACATACTTTTTCTCTGGTCTTGGTCTTTAAAATTTACAGTATTCAGTTAGTTAACATTTTGATCAAAATTTTTATGTCTTTGTTCATTAGTGCAATTGACCCTTAATTTTTTTTTCTTAAAAAGCCTTTGTCTGGTCTTTTTTGTGAGGTTATGCTAGCTTCATAAACTGAGCTGGAGAATTTTCCTCATCTGGAATAATTTGCATAATAGAGCTGTGGTTTCTTAAATGATCGTGTAATTCTTTGAGAAGCCATCTGGCTTTTCTTTGTGACAAGGCTTTTACTTAATTTCCTTCGTTGTTTTAGGATAATTTATATACTTTTGTGTTTTATGAGTTGCCTATTTTTATAAATTGTCCTTTTGAACATTTTATCTAACTTTTCAAATTTGTTGGCATAAAGTTTATGAAATAATGTTATTTAATGTCCTCAGCATATATAGCGATATTTTCCTTTTTTGTTTCAACAGTTTATTTGTACCTTCTCTTTTAAAATATATTTTATCTCTCTTGCCTGGTGTTTATCACATTTTTTTTTCAAGTCTTTTTAAAGGATCTTTTTGTTTTGATATTTCTCTGTTGCAGCATTTCTCAGAACTTTTTGTTTTCAGAACCCCTTTACATTTAAAAATTATTGAGGATAACAGAGCTTTATGTAGACTATATATATATTGAGATATTTGTTGAAAAAATATTTATTCACTTAAAATGGACAATAAAAAAATGAACAATAATAAATCTATTGTGTGTTAATATAAAATTCTTTAAAGGAAAAATTAACTATATCTTGAGAACAAATTTAGTGAAATATGAATGACATTGTTTATAGTAATCTTGCAAATTTCCTTTAAATATTTGGCTTAATAGAGAACAGCTGTATTGTTATGTCTACTTCTGGATTTAATCTAGCTTAATATGTTTAAGTTGAAGTAGAGTAAGATCTAGTCTTACACAGATGGAGTTAGGAAAGGGAAGAATGTTTTAATAGCCTTTTCAGATTGTTGTGAATAATCAGTATAGCAGATCCCAACAGATATGTTTTTTAAGGTTAATTGAAGTATGAAATCTAAAATCATATCTTACTGATACATTCAAGTTCATTGGTCTGTCTTGCATTTTGGATGGGTCTTTTACTCATGCGTGATTCTGTAACATCATGCTTTGGTCATTCAGAAAATATAAGGTCACTGAGTATGCACTTCTTCTAAACATGGACATATTTCATTATATGGTACCCAAAACCACATTTGGTAAATCACCAAGTTGCCGCCGTCTCATCAGAAACGTCTCTAGTGTTAGGGTACTTGAGCTCAAGACAGTAGCTGATAAGTTTGCCAGATCCCCAGTTCTTGCTTGAAAAGTCAGAGCTGATCCTTGGCTGCAGGTGCTGGGAAGGTGCTGGTCCGTGAAAACGACCTGGATCGGCAGGCGCGCTCAGTGCGCTGGCACCTCACTCTGATGTGCAGCACGTGTGGCTGTGACTTTCTCACTTGTCACACAGAACCTTTAGTTGACACGGAGCACTAAATAAATGAGTAATTTTTACTGCTTCCTCAAGTACATTCTTAAGTAAAAATGACCTTTTCTTTTTTTAACTGCTGTCTGTGGCCGTCAGTAATAGTGATTTCCAGTCACTGAATACGTCTGGAGGGTCAGTTTTGAAACTTGACTGATGTGATGCCGTTCACTGAGGTTGAGTGTTAACATGTCTCTTCATCGTGAAACAAAGCTGAAAGCTGATTGGAATTGCTTATCTGGCTTTCACTTCATTCATTACGAGTATAAGTTTTAAAAATCCCTAATTTAACCAGATATACGTACTTATGAAAATTTAAATTTATTAAGGATAGTTTTGTTCAGTAGATGTTCTGAACAACAAATTAAAGTCTGTGCTATTAATAAAATTGATTTATGGTAGGCTGTATATTTTTATTTTCTAAATGCATTTTCGGCGATGCTGCCTACACTTGGCCTTCTGAGCACTGTGGGCAGCACCTGGCTGCCTCTTGTTGCACAGGCTTCACGCCGTGACCGTGACCGTGCTGGGAGCGTCGGGGAGGTGCGTCCGTGGCTGAAGTTCGGTGCAGAGTTCACTGCTCACAGGTGCGATCCCAGTGCGGGGAGGCCCAGCTTCCTGTGCGCGCCTTGAAGATGAGCAGAATGTATTGCAGTCATCATTTTTTTCATTTATAAATTTTAACTTAACTTTTAGCATACGTAATATTTTGATTCGGTTAGAACTTCAAAAAGGTCTTACAGATTTCTGCTGTCATCTCTATCTTCTACCTGCTTTTTATGTATATCAAAGCCAATGTAAATACAGCAGTGGGCAAAAGTAGGTTTGCAGTGTGAATACATGAAACACTGTATTCTTATATCATTACTTATTAGTTATTGTGTTATTTACCATAGAAACACCTATATGCCTACTTCTGCCCCACCCTGTCGTATAAATTACCACATCA